TCTCTCTCTGTGCCTCCCTCCCCCCAGGGCCATTTGAAGCGCTGCAAACTGCAGTTGATTTACAGTCATCATCATTTGGTGTTATTGTTGCTTAGGGGTATTTCTCCCTCCCTCTCTCTCTCTCTCTCTCTCTCTCTCTCTCTCTCTCTCTCTCTCTCACACACACACACACACACATCTCACACACACACACACACACACACACACACACACACATTTGCTAACACTATCACCTGCTGCTGTTGTCATCTGTGACAGGCCCTATTCACCGTCACACAGAACCACAAGAAGCAAGGGCCTCCTTGTCATGGTGCCCATCCTCCTCTCACCACCATCATCATCAACACTGGGCAAATCGACAATTGATCAGTGACCACCTGCCTCCTCACCGCCACTTCTCCGTCTTCTGTCCCTCTGCTTCCCGTCCTTGCCCCTTTCCTTCATTGCGCTACTCCCCTTCTTCCATCCCCACCCCTTTCTCTCCTCGCCTTGCTTGCCCGCATTGTTCCCCTAAATACCATCACAAGATTCACAACTGACTTGTTACGGAGATGTCCACCTCCTCTTCCTCCCTCTCTGTCCTCGTCTGTCCTATTCCCATCCTTCCTCGTAGCTTGTTGCGACTTGCCTTCTCTCATTGTACTCCTTTCCCTCCTTTTATCCCATCGGCCATACCCCTGTCCTATTCCCATCCTTCCTCATCGTTTGTTGCGACTTGCTTTCTCTTATTGTACTCCTTTCCCTCCTTTTATCCCATTGGCCATACCCCCTCTTCCCATTAACTTACATCTCCTATCCAAATTCCGTGTCTTCACAAACTAGCAGTTACCAGTTGTACAATTTCCTCTTTATCGAGTGTACTCTTGTCGTCCTCTCCTCTCCTCTCCTCTCCTCTCTGTATGCTCTCGCTCCTCATTTTCCAAATACACTAATTCGCCGCTCGCTTGTCAACGCTTACCCACAATCACCAACGCTCACGATTGCCCACTCCCTTTTCTTGACCCGAAATCTCTAACGACCATTAACAACATCCTCAATCTCACCCTTTCGACTGCCACAATCCTACCTTGCGACCGCCAGAATCCTACCGACTTCCGTCCGGCCCATCCCTTTCCTTGAGCCAAACATCTAACGACCATCAACGACTCTTTGTTCTCCTCCACTATACCATCACCCTTCCTCCTCCTCCTACTTTATCCTATTTCTACTCCTGCCATAACTGGCCAGCCACCTCCCCTTTCTCTGTCCTAGCCTGCTGCAACCCGTGGCGACCTTCTACTGCCCACTCTCCTCCTCCTCCTATGCCAGAAATCGTCCACCATAACCAGCCAGCGCTTGGTAATCTATGCCTCATCTAACTGTCTTCCTCGCCTCCTCCCCTGGCTCCTGCATCACAGCGACCACCTCCTTGAAGCGAAAGAGACAAGTTCTCACCCCACTTGCTCTGCCATAGCCAACTAGCAATTATTGTACACCAATTCCTCCTCAGAATCTCTTTATCCTTCTTCTGCAGCCATTGTCAGTGTCTCACAGGAGTGAGCATCTTCCTCTCCACCTCCTCCTATTCCTCCACCTCCACCCATTGGTGATTGACGATCATGCGATACTGCTCGTGCTCCTGACTCTATTCCTATTCCATCATAACTAACTAGAACGGGGGAGCTCAACCTGATGCTCGTTCCTCTCCTTCTCTCCCTCCAAGACAGCTACCTATTAGCAGCCTACTGCCTCCTTGAGCCCCTCCCCCCCCCACCGCCCACCCCCCTGTTTCCTCCTCCACCACATCCACTTACCTACAAGTGGCCACCTTCTCCTCCTCCTCTTCCTCTTCCACTTTTTGTCATGGTTGAGTAGATGACAGTGACGGCGTCCTCTCCTTGTTCGACTCCTCTTGGCAGTATTACTACTCATAATACTGCTACCACTACTCTGCTAGATCTGCTGCTGCTCATACTGTGTCTGCAGTTCTGCTATTACCCTCACCACTGCTGTTCCCACTACTGAACCACGGCGATCACCACCCGACCACCTTTCAGCAGCACTACCACTGCCATTGCGTGGACCATTGCAACCATCGTCACCTACTATCACAACAACAGCTACCATGCCATTACCCCTATAATTACCTGCTTCCGCCACCAGTTGTGGCTCTGCCGCTGCGATTTGCCACTGTGCATGGTCACCCCACTGTGGGAGTCGTAACTACTTCTGCTGCTCCTACCACACTGGCTCTCTACCGTCATCGTACTTCCTGGCATGCATGCGGTGACATCATCCCTTCCCCGGAAGCGATCTGCCTGGAAGGTGTAACTATCGGTACTACTCCTGCGCAGGAAAAAATGGAAGATGATGGTGGTCTTCATTTGGGTACTGGGTCCCAGACAGGACCGGCGCCGCCACCCTTTGACATTGCACGTCTGCAACATGACATTGAAGAGGCTCTGCGACGACGAGCCCAGGCTGACGAGGAGCTGCAATTACTGCAGGCAATGGTTGCTGCTGCAAGTATGGACCTCCCTGCTGCCATGCCAACTGGAAGCCCCTTGCCTTCCAACAGAGTCACGCCGACACCCTTGCCTTTCCCGAGAAGTCAGCGCACAACACCGCCTCCTCCTCATCTACCCCTTGTCTCCACATCGCCGCCCACTGTCTGTGCAACGTCATCTCCAGAGCATGTTTCCTATGACACATTTCAGGAGCACACCGGGCGAGTGCGCCGAGCTACACGCTCTAGGCTGATCACTGGGGCAGATGTGCCTGACGACTTGCACACCTCGGGCTCCTGTGGGCCGCAAACCCCACCCTCGAGCCGGTTCACAAGTCCACGAATATCGATGCAGGGTGCAAGCAAGGAATGCACCCTACCTTCAAATGGTGCAGCAGCGTCATCGTCATCATCTGATGACTATGGAGATGACGATGACGCGGATAGCCTGCTAGGTGGCGAGATTGTGTGTTCCACAGCACAAACTGCAGCCCCAGAGGCATTGAAACCTGGCATGATTTTTGACAGTATTGCACACATTAAGCTTGCAGTGGCGGCTTCAGCCGTTGAAGAACATTTCGAAATCTCCGTCTACAAATCGGATCCCACACGTTACACCGTGAAGTGCCGTGACCCAAAATGTTCGTGGCGATTGCATGCTTCGATTGTGAACGGGGGCCCGTCAGCTTCTATAAAGACTGTGACAAAGCACACCTGCGGCGGAACATCAAGAATGGGCAACCGTCATGCAAGCGCCACGTGGATCGCCAATAAGATAATATCGAAGCTGCGAGAAAGACCGCAGTATCGGGCATGCGATATAATGAACGATATACAGAAGGAGTCAGGGATTGCAATCTCTTACAAAACCGCATGGCGAGGGAGAGACGAGGCATTGCAGAGGATCATGGGCACAGTCCCGGACGGTTACTATCGGCTACGGAAATATTGTGAATTGGTAAAACGGCACATCCCTGGAAGCGTTGCCTCTGTCAGTGTGCTGCCAGACAATCGGATGTTTGATCGCCTTTTCCTTGCTTTCCAGCCCTGTCTTGCAGGTTTCAAGTACTGCCGACCACTGGTAGGTCTGCATCAAAGTCTTCTCAGAGGGAAGATCCCAGGCGTCCTCTTGTCGGCGACTGCAGTGGATGCGCAAGGGGTGCTTTTTCCTTTAGCTTTTGGTGTCGTTGACGGCGAGAAGGACGACACCTGGAAATGGTTTGTCAGCAATCTTCATTCAGCTGTGGATGCGACATGTGGACCCTGGCGGCCGACAACATTCCTTTCTGATCGTCAGAAGCCTCTGTTCGATGCTGTTCAAGAGGTTTTCGGCGAATCACACCATGGGTACTGCTTGCAATACCTCGCCGAGAGCATGTCCCAGCGATTCAAACACCCTGACCTTACGAGACTCCTATGGGAGGTTGCGGAAGCACCAACGCCTGCCCTTTACCACCAGGCGCTGGATAAAATGCGAGCTGTTGATGGTAGTGCAGTGCGGTGGTTGTTGGCCACCACTCATCCCGGACAATGGGCGAACGCTTTCTTCCCGGGTGTGCGCTATGGGCACTTGACATCCAACATTCCGGAGGCAGCTAACAAACGGTACACCGCCGCTCGTGAACTGCCACCGATTCCGATGATGCAGGAACTGAGGCGGGTGGTGTGCCACTGGTTCGTGAAGAGGCGTGCGAAGGGCGAGAATATGACAGGGCTACTGGTGCCAAAGGTTTTGAAAATGCTGGAAGATATCAAGGCAAACGCCAAGCTGTGCAAGCCCATACCATCGTCCACAATGCACTTTGAGATTCAGAGCAGGGACGAGTTCAGGCAAGTCGACTTGGAAGCGCGCACCTGCAGTTGCAACCTCTGGCAGCTAGCGGGGATCCCATGCAAGCACGCCGCTTGTGCAATGCTCTCTACCTGCAACAACCCTGAGGACAGATGTGAAAAGTATTTCACAGTTGAGTACTACAAATTGACATATGCAGGCATTCTGAAGGGCATTCCAGCAATGGATGAATGGAGTGACTACGATTCAGACGATCTCATCGACCCGCCTGCAGGGAGAAGACCCAAGGGTCGGCCTCGGGAGCAGCGAGTAAGGCCTAAGCAGGACCCACAAGGAAAGACTGTACGCTGTGGCAACTGCAAGCAGTCCGGCCACTCTCGACGCACATGCCGCCAACTACCGTCAGAATCTGAAAGCGCCACAAAGACCACTGACACCCCGGTCGCCGGCGATCCAGCTCCCGTTGCAGAGCCAGGACGTTGAACTACTGCACAGCTGACAAACCACTGCAACTGTTCTGTTGAAGTGTACGTGTCCCTGCAGGCGGGTGCGCGCAAGAGAGAGAGAGAGAGAGAGAG